AGGGTCTGTATGCAACCAACATGAGGATTTCTGTAGAATGGGATCCAATTTCCTCAATGAATACTCACCTCTGCTCATAACATAATCATGTATGCCCAGTGAAGGTGTACTCTCTCCCGGACATAATTCCTTATCTCCAATGAAAGTATACCCATGTGTAATCCCCACTGAAGTCAGCACTCTTGATAAGAGTTTGTTTAAGAGTTTGTCTCTTCCAGAGGGCTGGTCTCCTAAGAAGTACATTTCAACACGATTTTGTATGATCCTCTTCTTCCGCGCAGTCTACTTTATTTTGAAGAATTTGGGAGGGATCATTTCATTGGATTAGATACCTTTGTTATACCCCCCTTGAAGTCGATACCCTGTGTCTCTGTGGTTGGCATTTATCTCCCTAGTGAGCTTGTCATTCATCGTCCCCATGAAGTTCATATCTTTTCTCCCTAGGGAAGTTTTGCCCAAGTTAGGTTTTCTTGAAAAGATGCTTGATCAGCATGCTTATTATGCCCCAGGGGAGCAAGTCTCCTATTTTTCTAGAGTGTTGTGCATAGACGAATGTCGTTTAGGGCTCTTTTATCCTCAATGATAGAGTATTGCTGAAATAATTCCTTGGTGGAGATCTGAACCTCAAGATTATGGTTCAAAGATGCCCTTCTCTTCCTCAAGTGAAGATTGTTACCCTCGACGGTAGTATCCCCAGTGTAGCCTGGGTAGCATTCTTTTATTCAAGAATTTCTATGATTCTCCAATCTAAGTTACTTTTATTGAGGACTTACATCAGAAGGTCCCAGTTCCCAACAAGATTCTCTTTATCCCTGGAAAGAGATGTTGGATTTTTTCCCAAGGGGTTGGGAGTTGGATCAGAGTTCAAAGTTTTCTCTGAACTGTAACTTATTTTTACAGTATTTTCCCTAGTAAAGGTGTACTCTCGCCCGAGTGTTCCTCCTTTTTAGTGTGGTCTACTCATTTCCAGGTTTTCTCGGAAGAATCGTTTTACTCACAAACTGGATATTCTTGTTATATCCCTTTGAAACCGACATTTTACGGCTTCCCTTATGAGGTTTTCACTTGTTCTCCCCATGAAGTATGCGTTCTCCTCTTCATTGAAGTGTGTACCCCATCTCTCTAATGCGGCTTGCCTATATCAGAGTTTCTTGAAGATATTCGTGTTTATCTATGGAAGATTCCGGTTTGGTATCCTCATAAGGATGACCATCATCCTCAATGAAGTGATTTCTGCTCTCCAGTACAAAAATTCTCGTCGGCTTGAATCTTATAGAGATGGCTACACCCAGTGCAATGGGTATTGTTGATGTTACTATCTAAAGTGGTTGGCTCCCCAATGTAAGAGGTAGTCTTTATCCCCAATTGAAGTCGAATTTTGAGGACCTGCCAGAGTAGCTTATTTATTATTCCCTAGTGGAGCAAGTTCTCTTTCCGTAGTGGAGCAAGTGTCATGTCTCTACAGTGTGATGTATATGGGAATGCCAGTCACAACTCTTTCATCCTCAGTGATAAAAGATTTTGTTGAGCTATCCCCAGTGGGGTTTTGTCCCAGGATGTTTGTTTCTTCCCCAAGTGAAGATTTTTACCCCCTGGCGGTGTTATCCCCGGTGTGGTCTGAGTAGAATTCTTTTATTTAAGAATTTTTATACTCCCCGGTAGAAGTTATTTTCATCAAGAAATTTTACGCGAGAAGGTTTCCATCCCCGACGAAGCTATCCTATTTCTAATGGAGGATAAATAATTTGTTCCCCAGGAAGTTGGGAGTTTGATCAGAATTCAAGATTATCTTTGAAACTGCAATTTATTTTTGTAGTATTTCTCTCCAGGAAGTTACTTCCTCAGTAATATCGATCTTTGGAGGTTGGTGGTTCCGAATATCGGTTCCCCATTGAAGTTTAGATTGCCTTTTCACTATAGAATATCAGATGTGCAAGAATAATTGTTCAAGAGTTCATTGTCTTTTCAGCAGCCGTTTATTGACGTGTTTCCCCCAGTGCATTGCTAAACATGCATCATTACATTGCATCTAGCAAAACGCGTAGCATTTCTATTGTATGGAGCATTACGCTATAAAAAAATTCAAACATGCATAAGTATAAGCCAATTATGTTTACCTGTGGTGACTAAATTGCTATATGCTCAAATTTGAATTATCTCCACAGCAAGCTTAGGGTGATCCTAGTCTGTTTCCCCAGTGGAGTCTGTTTTGATTCACCACCAGTCGGGTCTTTGGTATCTTTCCATTTCCCAATAAGTCATGGTTTGTTCTTGCCCTTGTAAGTCTTTGGTTATTTTGCTTATGTTTATTTTACCGCCAGAGTACGAGTAAGAGTCTGTGTATAGCCTTTCTTGCTTCTCAAGTATTTGAGTATTCATACTTGGTGTGTGGTAATTCAGATGATTGCCACTCTTGAAGAATTACACCCCCGCCTTTGGCCGGAGGGATTTTGTAGTTCTTGCGTATTTGTAACCTATCAAAAGCACAACGCGTTTTGGCAATCCTTGTAAGAGTCCCCTTCGGCTGGTCTCTTTCTCTTATAGAGTTCACTTTCGCACGGTGCTCTCAGAAGGTCCTGCTTAGTCGATTCCTTGTATTTGGTTTATCCGTGTTAGTCAGATTCTCCTTTTGTTAGCTTATCTAACCTTCTCTGTTAAAAGTCCTTCAGTGTCTCTTCAAAGTCCAGTTGTCTGGCAACCTTGTTTAGGCAAATGCGTCCTTTCTTGTTGGGGATTTCTTCAATTAATCTCTTTCTTGTGTTTTCTATCAACTCTGAACATTTTTTTCTTTATGCTAGATATCTCTTTTGTGTGTCTAACTCTGACCAGACGTGCATATATTTATCCCTTGTGAGTTCTCCTTTGATCGGCGTTCTTTCTCTAGGAATCTACCTTCGACATAATATTCCTTGTTAAAGATTCCCCTTCGACTGGTTTATTTATCTTGAAGTCCACCTTCGGCTAGCACCCTTGAAATCCACCTCTGGCTGGCACCTTTTGTTATGAGTCCCCTTCGGCTGGTCTCGTTTCATTTTTAAGTTCTCCTTTGATTGGTATTCTTTCCTTAGGTGTCTACCTTCGGCTAGTATTCCTTGTTAAAGATTCCCCTTCGTATGGTTTCTTTATCTTGAAGTCCACCTTCAGCTGGCACCCTTTAAATCTACCTTCGGTTGGTACCTTTTGTTAAGAATCCCCTTCGGCTGGTCTCTTTTCATTTGTAAGTTCGCCTTTGATCGGCGTTCTTTCTTTAGGAATCTACCTTCGGTATAGTATTCCTTGTTAAAGATTCCCCTTCAGCTGGTTTCTTTATCTTGAAGTCCACCTTCGGCTGGCATCCTTTAAATCCACCTTCGGCTGGTACCTTTTGTTATGAGTCCCCTTCGGCTGGTCTCTTTTCATTTGTAAGTTCACTTTTGATTGGCATTCTTTCCTTAGGAGTCTACCTTCGGTTGGTATTCCTTGTTAAAGATTCCCCTTCGGCTGGTTTCTTTATCTAGAAGTCCACCTTCGGCTAGCACCCCTGAATTCCTACTTCGGCTTATACCTTTTGTTAAGAGTCCCCTTCAACTGGTCTCTTTTCATTTTTAAGTTTGCCTTTGATCGATATTATTCACCCTTTAAATCCACCTCCGACTGGTATCATTTGTCAGGAGTCCCCTTCGGCTGGTCTCTTTTCATTTGTAAGTTCGCCTTCGATCAGTGTTCTATTCAGAGTCAATGTATATTGGTATCCCAGTAAGTTCGCCTTCGAATGGAGTTCCTTCGTTAGAGCCTTCTTCGGTCAGTCTCTTTCTTGTGTATGTCTAACCTTAGCCTGACATACATTTATCCCCGATAACCACTGTAACAAAAAAACAAAAATATAATAATACCCGACTAGCTTTAGAGTGCAAATTTTCGGGTTTTTTAGTACTTAATCTTCTTTCACCTTGAACGTTCGAAAGGCTAGAGCCAATATCACCTTCAGGTTGAAGACGATTAAATAGGATAGTTGTTGCACCTCAAAATTTGCCCTCCTAATTTCTCTTATCTGGCTTAGGCTTTTGCATTCATCTTCATAGCATACGTTCACATTTCCATAATGTTGAGATGAATATATCCAATAAAGGCTGATTTCTTATTCAAGCAATGAGAGGTGGAATTAGGGTTACGATTCGTGGTTAGTAAGAATTTATTATTCGTCAAGCTATAAGGCCATTCTCCATCCAGTTTCATTAGTTCTAGAAATTAGGGTTTTTTTCCTTATGTATCTCATGAAATTAGGGTTTTATCACATGGATGTCTTGCTATGCTTCTAGTTTAATCTGAGTCAAGGAATTTCCTCAAGAAAGGTTAGTTTGGCGTTGAGGTCATTGGTTTTCAAGTCAAGGACTTGTGATTTGAGTTGCAAAGACGTTGAGTTGTGGTACAAGATGTTGAACTTGTGGATCCAATGTGGTCGAGACATTATTACTTCTTTTATTTTTTGTTTGATATGGATTTAAGAATCGAAGTTAGGAGTAATTGAGAATTAAATTTGATTTGGATTCATTCAAATGATCACTTTATGCCATGGATTTAATGCGATCAAAATTCTTAACAGGCAAACATGATTAAGAAGGAAAGTTCGTAGCTTTATGATTAAGAAGGAAAGTTCGTGGCTTTGAGATCATATGGATCTGAGTTACAAAAATTGTGTCGATGCTTCAAGTATTCAAAACTCGTTCAAGAACTTATTCAAGAGTTCAAAGGAATCATCATTCCTTCAAGTATTTGTCATTTTCATACAAGGGTGAATTGAATTAGAGGGTCATTAAAGATATGAGTAATTCTTTCATGGTTCATTTTGGATTGCAATACAAGTGGACTTGTATCGAGGAAGGGTTCTCGTTGAATAATTTGCTCAAAGTGATTCTAAATTCAATCATTGTTCATAACTTAATCATTTAAATCATATAAGTCATCATTCAAAGTTATTTCAAGTTCGTCCAAAAGGTTTCATAGCCATACAAATCTCATCCATGTTTCTCTTCAGAATTACAAATAGCAAGTCGTATTGCCATTACATTTTGAGGAATTACAAGAAAAGGAGTTTATATATCTATCATAAGCCTAAGTGTTCCTTAAGATGCTATATCTTATCAAAAGACCGGCTGCCAAAACAGTTTCAAGCTTGTTCCAGACTTTTAGCCAATTCTATGAAATCTAGCTCTTCCTTCTCGCATAATCCGACCTACAATAGTGCATAAACCCCTGCAATTTTCAGGAATAAATTCAATACCAAACAGACATTATATTGAATGTGTTTGCATAACATTCTGTAATTTGTCAAAACTATGGCACTACTATAAATATATAACAGAAAACTAATTACCTCATTTTCATAACAGATTTCAAACCCTCCAAAACTACAGCATCCTCACCCTCCATCTTATATCTAACTTCACAAACATCCAACAGCTCGAATCACTTCATCCATAACCATTTCTCTTCATTCTCAATCTTTATATAACCTCAACTCCCTCCAAAAAATCAGATTCGCATTTCATTTCACCATTTTCCCAGATTCATACGCCATTCGCCACCATTATCATTTTCAATCATTCTGAGAAATCACAGAAAAAGCTCAGAAAAAACTTCTCTGCAATACTTCAGCCCTGCATACTTTCCACCTGCATCATGCTCAAATATCAAACCAAAAATATGCATCTAAATCTATAAAAATTGATTAACATCCAACTGTATAAACATACACAATAAAACGCATTGCTGCCCTGTTTCAACAAAAAGATCACCCTGCATATAAAGCAGTATATATCAGTTCCGCCCACAATAAACCAGAGATTTATCATGAAGATGCTTCAGACCGGATGAAATGGATTCACAATAAAGCTAGTTCAGAATATTAGAAAAGGGAAGTATTATATAAGAAATCACAAAACAGGAAATATAAAGAATGAAGGAAACCGTGAGTTTATAATTAATAGAAGCAGAATTTCAGCTCACAACTAACTACAAATAACTAACTTCATTTTGGATCAATATCGTCCCTCCAGTTTTTGTAACAAACTTAATATTCAAAGGTCTAGACTTAATAAACCAACTATCTTCCTAACTAACTCTAACTGAATCAAAAAATAATTTGATATTAAATCTCATCCATCCAAATCTCTAACAGAAAAGGCCAATTTAACAGCTCAGATTCATTTTTCATGTAACTAACTTTCAGCAATAATAGGAAGGTAAAAATAAAATTACTTACCTGGATTTAGATTCATTATTCAACAAAGAAGAATCACGCTCCAAATTTCTCTCTGCTTGCTCTCCATTTCTTCTTCATTCTCGATCTTCATCTTCGTCCACCGAAAAAAGCAGAACATAAAACTCTCCCATCTTCTCTCTGCTTTCTTCTTCCATCCATAATTCTTCATTTTCTCTTCAGAAGAATCACAGAAAAATCCAAATGAACTCTCTCTGCGCCATAACCAGATCTTTTTCTCTTCATCTTCATCTCTGACACCCCTTTTGGAACCTCGTTCTTCATCTCTTTCACTCCACCTTCCATCAACAAAACTTCACGGCTTCATCTATTCACCTTCACGAAGAATCTTCAACCTTCTTCTTCTTTGAATATTGATCTTCTTCAATCATCTTCATCGCAAGAACAACATCACCACTCCATAACCGAACTTCAATCGTCTTCACCGAAAATCTGCAAACACCTCGTAATTGTAAACATTATTACAACATCATCATGACAGTATTCATAATCATCCTCGATCTTGCAGCAAGTCGTTTTTCTGCTTCAATCACAGATCAACAACCACAGTAAAACACAATAATAGGAAAGAATCAGTGAGAAAGCTCAAAGGTGGGAAAAAGAAGAAGAATAACAGAAGAAAATGAAAGGGGAGGGAGTACCTGAGCGCCGAAGCCCTATCGGAGACGATTTACCACCGCGTCGAAGCATCGAAGCATCCTAACAGGTTCGATGTAACGCATTTATATTCTTTTTTCTTTTGGGTTCCATTATCTTTCACGCAAAATTCCATGTATTTCAATTCTTGTTCGCATCCATGAGGTTTCGTGGATTTAGGGTCCATGGTTTCCACTTACACGATTCATCCATAGGAGTGGTGTTCGCGTGAAATCGGCATAGGAATCATGATCGAGAATAGAGATAAGTTAATGTTCATGTTGAGAGAGGAAGGATTAGAAGAGGTTGAACAGTGGCCATACGACGGCGGCTTCTTGTGAGAATGAAAGCTAAGAAGAACGCAGGAGAAGATGCGTTTAATGTATTGGATCTGAAGGTTTGCATGGGGATTACACACATTCGTTCTAATGTTTAGTGGATTTTAGTGATTTTTTTTCAGTAATAAACAAATAATACAAGTGTTAGAAAGTATAGAAGGGTTAGCAATGGATTGGGCTCTCATATTCCTTGGTCCGTTAATGTTTTTTATTGGAAGACTGAAACTTTAACGTGCAAAAAAAGGCTGGACTATTTGTCATGGAGCTGGGCCGAATGTCATCCGTAGCCCAACACGAATATTTGGAACCTGCAAGCCCAGTGACCAAAAAACAACACCACAGACATTACTGTATGAGCCTAGCTCCCGGATTCTTACAGTACCCCCTGTATTCCAGTTTGCAATCCCCTTGGGCCTCTTTTTCCTTTTAGTAATTTCCTTTAAAAAAATTGTGAATTGTTTATGTTTCTGAACTTTTTTCACTGGATAAATAATAATAAAAATCCATAAAATTTGTTAGATTTTTTATTTTATTTTTTAGGAATTAAATCCCGATTATCCGATTACTTGAGATTTTTAATTCACCCATGATTTTTGAGATCTGAGTCTTATGTAGGTTTACTGTGTGATATGCGGATATACTTGATTTTTCAATTGTGATTTATTTTCACATCGATGATGCTTCGAAATTTATTCTGAGCATTTGATTTCTGACTCTTTTCTCTAATTGGTGAAGCTTTCACGAAGATCGTCGGGTTTCTTTGTTTTGATATGCTTTGCTGTGGATTGATATTCGTTTTGTATTTTGCTTTGTTTATCTCATTTAAGCATTTACCGTTTTCTAGAAATCATGTGAAGTAGGAAGCAGGAAATAAAGAGCGTGCACTCGAAGTCGGTGTTTAAAGTCTTGTAGTAAGCACCACTTTTTGTATGCTATTTGTGTTTATTTAAAATCCTATCTTTGAAGTAGGTATTCCGCACGTGTGTTTACATTTGTGTCTGCATTATACTACATATAATAAGCCCTCAAAAGGAGGAAAGCAGGGAGGGTTCGCAATCGACCCCCACATATTCTTGTCTGTGTTATCCTTATCTCACATTGTACATCGATACTTTTGAGTCATGCATATCTTGTGTATCGAGTCCGTCAAGTGGGGAAGAGTTTTACAATCAAATCCCCATGCTCTATCAGGAGTTCACATTGGCCGATGCTGACACTCTGTGATCGTTCATATTGTCTTATGTTGCCTACCTCGATCTTCTATATCTTGGTTAGGTGTTCAGTCACTTTGGACGTCACATTTTCTTTATTTCATCTTGTTGTACCCCAAAATTTTCCCTCCCATATTCTTCAAGATTTGGCAAGATCATGGTTCAAAATCTCTCAAGGGTTGCACAGTCCAATTGCCTCCTAACACAGTCAAAATTAGGGTTTTGGTTCTTGCAAAAAAATTGAGGTTTCCAAGGGTCCAATCAAGTCCCACATGCCTATATACATTGTCAAGCATCCATATGTCAAGTTTCAAGACTCACAGCATCAAGTTGCACAGTCAAAAACCCTAAATGCTTCACAGTCAACTGCAGGGGCAAAATGGTCATTTGACAGTCAAAAATCAAAATTTTTGGTCAACATCTTATTTTGAAGCCACAATCATCATTTGATCAATTCTTGATCATGATTCCACAAGCATGGCTCAAAAAGTCTCAAGATGCAAAAGTTGCTATTTTTGGACAGTTGAAAAGTCAACTGCAAATTGACCAAGGCATAACTTCTTCATGGTTTATCATAAAAATCCAATCCAAAGCTCATTTTCAAGGGGATGACATTTCCTACAACTCATCTTCACACTCCAAGTCCAAGAAATGCTCTCACAAAAAGTTATCAATTTCAACATTATAGGTCATTTTCAAAAGTCAACAAAAAGGCACTTTAAGTCAAAGACCATACCTTGAGATTGGTAAATCAAAATGACATGGGACCAACGGCATTGGTTAGAGGACTTCAAGACCTTTCCAAAATGTCCAAGAACATGTTCATAGCTTCAAAATTGAGCAAGATATGCATTGGAGAAGTTGGGAAATTTTTGGGAACTTTCAAAAGTCAACTTTGCCTAAAAAGCTTCAAATTTGCTAATGGGCCTCAAATTCTTTCTTGAATCATTACACAAGGCCTATGCATGACCCATTGAGCTCAAAATAATTTATTTTATTATTTTTAATTAATTAATTGAATTTATATTTATATTAATTCATTTAATTGATTTTAATTATAGGAAAATTAAAAAGATATGTTTTTGGATCTTTTGTGAAGCAAATCATATCAGGGCAAGCTGGCAAAACCGTTTCTCAATCAAAAAAGGAAAATCATCCATAATTGGCAAAGGTTTTCATGGAAAAAGATTGAAAATCACATAATTGAAAATCAAATATTCAAGTCATAATGCCATGGACTTTTGGGCCAAGGTTCTGACCTAATTTGCTTCACATAAAAAGGCATAAGCTAACCCTACTCAAGCATACACGTGAAAGCTACTAATACTCCATAGCCAATTGGCAAAAAAATCAAAAAAAAGTTGTGAAACTGAAATCCTACTTGCAGTATAATTCAAGGCCTAAAATCGTTTCTAATATATTGCTAGACCTTCCAGGAAGCGTTTGCCATCAAAAACCAATCCTAACACGCAAGGAATCAGAGAATACAAGTGACACGGTTTGCTTTATTTTTCAGATTTGCACATCACGATTCATGCATTTTTAATACATTTGGTTGATTGTTTTATGTTCACAGCATTCAGGCAAAGCTTTTGGTATGATTTAATTCCATTAATATGCCTTGAAACGCCAGTTACCATGAACGACATTTAGGGTTTCTGAAGCCTTCAATTAGGGCTTTCTTGTTGAGGAAAAATGAAACCTTGAGACCTATACAGCTGAATTCAGAAGCTCAATACGAGTTGAATAGCAACCTCGCGCTCAATTTATGTAGTCCACAGGGCTATTCGCTATTTTTAGGACTTTCACTTAGTGGGGGTTTAAAACCCCCGCTATCTTGTTTATGTTTACAGGTACAAACGAAGAAGGAGATAGCATGGCAGTGCATGGTTGGGTAGTTCAAAATCTGGCGCGTTTTATTTGTTTTATACCACTATGAGTGTTTTTTCTACATAATAATTACTGTCCATTATATGTACAAATGCGTTCCATAGCTCAGATGGTGGAGGACGTGTCTTGCAAGCATTGGGACCTGGGTTCGATTCCCAGGTCCCCCATATAATTGTTGTTACTTTTCTTAATCCATTCCAATGCAGCAATGACTCAATGGTCCACCATACGTACCCACGTCTAGGCTTGCCAGATGGTATTGATCAACGATCCAATGGATACAGAATGAAGTCCATGATGTACTCCAGTCAATGAGCATCCACACGATCAGAAAAGTCAAACAAAGGCTTTGTGATTCATGGGCCAGAATTCCAAAAAACCTCCACATGGGCCTGACACCCCCCTTGGTTTGTATAAATTTATTTTCTTTTCTTTCTTTTAATTGTTTTAATTGTTTTTTTATAATTATCATTAATTCACTAAAATAATTTTTTTCATAATAAAATCAGAAAATCAAAATACAAAATATGTTTAATTATTTATTAATTTCCTCACTAATTTATTTTTGTAAATAAATGTTAATAATTAATTTAGTTAATTTAGGTTTGAAATTCAATCTTTTCATTAATAAATAAAATTCTATAGAATTAGGTTTTGATTCTTTTCATTATTATCATCATTATTCATTATTACTATTTATTAACCATTATTTTTGTACATAAATATGTAAATTAATTAATTAGCTTAAATTAGGTTAATTTTAATATTTTCATTAATAATTAAAATAAACTTAGAATTAGGGTTTTCTCTTGATTTTATTTTCTTTATTTAATAAATACAAAAAACATAAACACACTTTCTTTTATTTAATTAAATACTTAATTAGGTTTTAATTTCATTTAATTTCAAGCAAAGGGTCAAAACCCTCGGACGTTCAGTTTAATTCTTTTCGCGCATTATTTTTCTTATTGATTATTATGTAACTGTTCAAGGATGTAATAGTAATTAGGGTTATCGCTTTTCTTTTACTTTCCGCATCTTTTATCAAAAACGGGTCTTTGTATTTTGGCGATGTATAGACCCGCGCCTTGTAATAGCGTAGCTTTTATATTTCCGTCTTTTAATTTTCCGCACTCCTAACTGCTAAACTTGCATGAAAGAATGTATGGTTAATTAAAAACAACGCGTAGCTCACAATGCCATGATCAAA